GTAATATGGATTGATAACATTCATGTGGTACCATTTGTCAGCTATTATAGACTCCTGTTTTTGTATACAAGCACCACATGTGTGCAAAGCATATTTGAGGTAGCAGCCTCAAGTTGTGTTGGTGAGATTTATATTGTATATGAGGAAGAAGCTCTTTGTGGAAATAGTAGTTAGGCATTGGAACAGGCTGCCCAGAGAGGAGGCAGAGTCGGCACCCCTGCTCAAAAATTTATGAGGATACACCCCAGCTGAGCAGCACGGTGAACACAATGGAAGGAAGGGCTGCCATTCAGAGGGACCTCAGCAGACTTGAAAGGTGGGCCCAGGTGAACCTAATGAGGTTCAACACAGCAAAGTGCAAGATTTTGCACTTGGGCCGGAGGAATCCCAGGCATCCATACAGACTGGAAGGAGCAGGTCTTGAGAGTTGCCCTGCACAGAAGGACCTGAGGGTCCTGATGGATAAAAAACCTTGGTATGAGCCAGCAGTGTGCACTTGCAGCTCAGAAAGCAAATGGTATCCTGGGCTCCATCAGAAGAGAGGTGGCCAGCAAGGACAAGGGAGGTGATTGTCCCTCTCTACTATGCCCTTGCAAGGCCCCAGCTGGAGTGATTCCTCCATATCTTGGGCCCCCAATACAAGAAAGACAAGGTACAGTTGGAGAGGGTCCAAAGGAGAGCCATAGAGATGATCAGGGGGCTGGAGCACCTCCTCTACAAAGACAGACTGAGGGAGCTGGGCTTGTTCAGCCTGGAGAAAAGAAGGCTGTGGGGCGATTCTCATTGCAGCCTTTCAGTACCTAAAGGGAGCCTACAAACAGGAGGGGAGTCAGCTCTTCACAAAGGGTGGATAATGGCAGGACAAGGGGAAACAGGTTTTAAGTTGAGGGAGCGAAGATTTAGGTTGGATGTCAGGAAAGTTCTTTACCCAAGTGAGGAACAAAGGATCATCTTCTCACTCACTGTCATCAAGATCACCCCAGAGATCTCCATCCCAAACGTCAGGGATACCATTAGTTTCCTAATCTGTATGATGTCGGGGGGCAGGGAGCCTTCACAAGAATCATCTCAACCCTTTCTTCCAATTTTTGGCTGCTCAGACAGCTGAGAAACCAAGGCAAGTTTTGCTTCTGTTAAGAGCCAAGCAAAAATCTTGTGGATCATGCTGTTCAGAGTCCTGAACAACAGAGACGCAGAACAGCACAAACTATTTTATTGCTTTGTTACCTGCTGTGAGGCCAGACTTGTGTTATGAAGGTCAATAGCAGCAAGAGAGGGGACTCGGGACTCTGAAACTGTTTTATTTTCCTTTTTGAGATATCTGGGATGCCATCCTGCAAAATGCAACCAATGCACACAAGGTTAAAGAAGCAAGATGTGACTGCTGCAGTGCACATTGTTTCCTGCCATTTAGCATCCAGGTTTAACTTAGAGGACATTGAAGCTCATACCTTCCACTCCTTTCAGTTCAGGGAGATGATTTAGCTCTGGCAAATGCACATCTGTCTTAGAGAATTCCCGTTTCTTCTTACTGGCCTGAAGGATGTTCTTTTCATTAGAGACCTCGTGTAGAGAGAGAAAAAATAAAGCTATTTTTAAGACTAAATCATACAGTTAAAGGAATCCGTTCTGCTTAAATAGCTCAGACATTAAAAACAACTGAACAACCACAGCAGAAGAAACAAACAAAAAAGTAACTACAAGTGAAAAAGCAACACCAAACATCTAAATGAAATTGCTTTCAAAGAGACAAAATACAACAGGAGAACAGCTCGGATTAGTTCTCTATATAAAGTCAAATATTCCTCTGACTTGGAAAAATTATTATCTAGGTACTGAGTGCAGTGAAGAACTTCGTATTTCACTTGTTTTCATTATCAACTTTATATGCATTTACGACGTGACTAAAGGAGACCCTGACAGTATTAAATCAAAATCCTGCACTCTGCTTCAACAGTGAAGCACAAATGGTCCACTTCCTGGACAGGCAATACAGTGGATATACTCCATGTCTCACAAGTATCCTTGCTGACTGCTACCTTCATGTAAAAACTTTGCCCTTTAAAAAAAATACTAAATGTTTCATATGGGATAACAGTAACAAAGGATAAGGGATAACTGTAGGAATAAAAGGCTGAAGAACATTATTTCTAGTTGGGAATTATGGTGAAGACTGCAAGAAAGATTACTGACAATTAAGCACATATTTAAGAATTCATTTTTGCTTAGTCAAGGGGAAGGACATAAAACTTACCGAAGTCAAGCTTACACTGTAATGGCCTGCTGGAGAATGCTTCATTTGCTTTAAAAATGGTTTCAAATAATTCTTACTCCTTTCATCAACTCTGTAATTTCAAATGGCCCAAACTGTTTAATAACATGGTAAATATAAATACAAACAAACATGAGACACTCAGAAACACTGTCCCCCCAACAGGGACCTTCTTCCTGGCTTGTATCAGAAATAGTGTTGCAAGAAGGAGGAGGGAAATGATTGTCCCTCTGTACTGAGTACTGGAGAAGCTGTACATCAAGTGATGTGTTCAGTTTGGGCCTCTCACTGCAAGAAAGACATCAAGGTCCTGGAGTATGTTCAGAGAAGGGCAATGAAGCTAGTGAGGGCTCTGGAGAAGTCTCATGAGCAGCAGAGCAAATTGGAATTGCTTCGCCTGAAGAAAGCTCAGGGGAGCTCTCATTACTCTCTACAACTATCTGAAAGGAGGTTGTGGAAAGGTGGGGATCAGCCTCCTATACTGTTTAACTAGCAATAGGGGAATAACTTCAAGCTGCACCAGGGGAGGTTTAGGTTGGAAGTTAGAAAAAATTTCTAACTCTGAAAAAGTGTTCAGGTGCTGGAATGGGCTGCCAATGGAGGTGGTTGAGCCACCATCCCTACAGGTGTTCAACAAATGTTTAGATGTTGGACTACAGGACACAGTTTAGTGGGGAAATATTGGGGTAGGTGGATGGTTGGTCTGGATAATATTGGAGGTCTTTTGCAACCTTGGTGATTCTACAATAACACTGCAGGCCCAGCTAACACAGAATTTTTGTCCAAAGGATAAGCCACTACTTAAACAAAGGCCTGCATTGCAGCTGCTGGCAAATTGCTGTTGTCCCATAGGACTTTGCCGAATGCAGAAACACAGAAGCTTTCTGCATGGACCCTTAGAGCTGCCTGAGGTGAAACCAAGCTTTCTAACCCATGTACACACCATCCTTCACCCAGAAGCTGCTCCTCTCTGCATCCTGCCCCAAACCCACATCACCACCCTGCAGCTCTCTCAGCACATTACTGTTCCTCAGCAACAAGATCAAAAGGAACAAGTTTTTCCAGCTCTGCTCTTTTACCTGTAGTTACAGTTCCTAGGCACAGGCATCACTGCAGACACAGTGGGAGAAACATTCCGGTTAATGGGAGGAATAACGATGCCTGCATTCTTGATATAGCCCAAGTTGCTACTGGAATCTTTCAGGTTGGCTTGAGAGCATATTTTGAATGGGTTGATTGCACTGTCATAGAGGGAGCTCAGGTCAGAAGATCGCTCTCCTTTCTCTCCATCAGCTTTAGAACACTTCACTTTGAACACCTTCGCATCTCTGCTCTTTGGGTCAGTGCTGAAATCCTGTTTGGAAAGATGAGTGTCATATTTCTTTTCCAGTTACATTTAAAAATTAACTTAGAGCTGCACATGGAGGAAAAAATTCAAAGCCTAAGTTAGTACAACTCTGCAAGGATCTGATGGAGATGGTTTAAGTAGTGTGATAGAACACCTGTCTTCCATTAAAGTTGAAAGGAGGAAACTTGTCAGGGGTCCAGCACCCTCTGTAAGTAAGTCACCCTGGAATGAGTTGGAAGTGATGGAGGAAGAACAGCTATATCATGTGTCACTTCTAAAGAAATAAGAACCAAGCCCAGTGTCACCTCAGCATAACTGTGAAGCCTCTAGCCTTCACATCTGTTTGAAAGCTAAATATGCAGTTTTGGAGACAAAACTTCAACACAGGTGAGCAGCTGCACAGAATCATGTTTTGCTCATTCAATGTGACTAACACTTCCTATCTGGTTTTCCTTACAATTCTCTATTTGCAAGTAACTGCATTGTCATGTGCTTTATTGACAAGGAAGGCTTGAATAGCCACCTGCAGACTGTCCAGCCAGGCACCAGCACAACTTGTAGCAGCCAGCTGGAATCAAAGGCATAGAAAATCTACATGCCAGCCTGCTTGTTGTACTGCAGTGAGCATCAGAGTTGAAGGATACAGGCCTCATGAACTGCTTAAACTCACAGAGAGCTGAACTTCTCTGGCACATCTTTTATCTAGTCTTTTTTTTTTTTTTAAATGAAATATAAAATTGTGTTTATATTTATATGCTAAGCAATTAAAGTACATCACATACTTATTTATTCATTTTAAAAGATGGAGAAAACACAAAAAAACAAACAAACAAAAAAAAAAAAACAGGAAAACAAAAAAACCAACTAACCTGTACACCAACCATCTTCCTTTCTTCCACAGCATCATCTTTATCCCTTCTGCTGACTTTTGATTTTTTTTGTGACTGATGGTCCCTGGTTTCTTTGTGAGTTCTTAATTTAAGCTCCTGAGCAAATCTACTTAACATATCATAGTGGGGAAAGAGAAAAAGAAAAGGCTTTTGTTAGTATCAGTGCTCAGCCCAGGCTGCTATAACCTTCCAAATAATGAAACAAACCATGTATTTCTATGTAATTAGAATCCAATAAAGTAAAATATAATCCTACACATGCACACTTTTATTTTCACAGCAATAAAGGTGGTTGTATCCCAGTCTGATGTAGATGCACACACTGAATAAAGTATAAGATAATACTACTCAATATGTCAGTATGCTGTGAAAGGAGGCCCACACCGACAAATTCATGTCATGACCATGTACTATGGTAAACATGCTACTGCAGTGTTTTCCCATTTAACTGTTCCCTCTATTTTTGGGAAGGCTCAAACCAAACAAAGCTAAGACACTCAGCAACCACCTGCTTTGCAAACCCAGCACGTACTTTTAAAGCTCAATTGCTTAACTTCCTTTTAATCTTGTCCTGTTTTGAGTAAGAAATGTACCATTCACCTTTCAGCAAATCCATCCTTGTTAAAGAAATCGCTCTGCAAGAGTTCAGCACAGAATGGTCTTTTGTCTGGGTCAATCTGCAAACACTTCTGTGAAAACCAACAGTAAACAGTAGAAGGCAGAAATGAAAGAAAGGCTTTAGCATTTCCAGATGATGTCAAGAAAAAATAGCTGCAAAGCTCCCACTTCTATAGCCTGCTACACGGAGATGGTCCCAAGAGATGTGCCCTTTTTCCACAAAATATATTTAATATTTGCTGGCTACATCCACTCAAATCACTAATGCTCACAAAGACAGATGGCCTACCTGCCACACAAATAATCCACCTCCCAGTAAACCACTCGTTTTCAATTCTATTTGTTTGGCTAAGGCTTTAGAAGCTGGTTTGATCACAGGGCATTTCCAATACATTCAGGTATCTTATAGGTTATTTTAGTTACCCAGCATATCAGTGTTCCAGACTATTATCTGAAAGCAGAAAAATTCTTCAGAATCAGTTACAAAGTTGTATGCTTCCTAGCTCCCACACAAGTGCATGTATGGATGCCATCTCATCTGCTTGCAGTGTCTCCACCAGGATGCAGATAGAAGGTTGGCAGAAAACACTGCATCACTCAGCTGTGCTAGCAAGGAAACAGTAAGGGATCGCGTATTATCTGCAGCATGCTACAAGTCCTCCTCAGAAGAGGCAGCCCCTGTGGAGCTGGAGATGATGAGCTCAGTCTTCCCTATTATCCAGGAGAGTAGCTGTTCTCACCAAACTACCAAACCAAGCAGTTGATTATTGCATGGGTAGTTGGTTAAGCCAGCCTAGCAACACTAGCTCTTTTTGCAGGCTGCAATCTGTTCCCCAGGGCAAGTGACAAGTATCTGCCAAAGGCACTAAATTCTAACGAGAATTTCTCACCTCTCCATGCAATTGCCAAAATGATCTCTTACTTACCTTGGCTAAATCTAGTACTGAAGCAGAGAGCTTAGGATATCTTCTGTCCAGAGATTCAGCCTCTTTCACTTCAGGCAACCTCATGCCAGCAAAAAGGGGATTTTTACAGAATAACTCTTGGTGTCTTGGAATTAAATTACCTGGAATCACACAACCATAGCAACCAAATGGAAGAAATGCCATCCTGAGAATATTCGAGAGGATGAAATACTGAGTTAACAGAACTATAAGGGCTATAATCTGGGTCATTCTTTCCATTCAAGAATCATGAACGGACTTCAGGGTCACAAAACTCCTAGCTCTCCCCCTTTGTAAAGGGGGCAAAGAAATCATGCTCTCAAAAACAGTTCAGCTCACATCTTTCCTCTTCACACCTTCCTCCCCCCATCAAGACTTATTCAACCCCTTCATTAGGGAATAGGCACTGGGAGTCTGGCAGGCTGTTCTCACCCAGGCATTTGGTGATGTGGTAGAGCTGGTCAATGTCTGAATCTCCAGGGAACAGGGGCTCTCCTGTGAGCATTTCTGTTACCAGACAGCCAACAGCCCACACATCCACAGCCCTGGAAGAAAAACATCCCCAATCAACACAGCTTTATTCTTCGTTCTCAGCTAAAGGCTGAGCTGGGCCAGCATCCAGCAAGTTACAGGCCTTGAGCGCAGCTCTGACTCCGTAAACAGCAAGACAGCTGTTTTCCAAACTTGCATACGCTCTGATGAATACCAAGAATTCAGCTCTTGAAGAAGGCAAAAGTTTGACCAATCTGAAATTCAGTCCTAAACCCCAATGCTTTCAAAATTCTCATGCAAAGTAATACATTAAAAAAATCTTGCCCTTTGGAGAACAGAAAACTTTTCTTTCTGCAGGCACCTGCCCTTCTGAAGCATTTACTAAAAAAGGACGTTAGGTAACACAGAACATTTATAAGCATACAGGGGTGTACAAACCTGTGAATGGCAGTTTAATTTCTGACGTGGTTTTGCAGCACTAGAGATCCCAGTAAGAAAAACTCATGCATCGCACCTCCTCCTTCCTGAAATATTTTTCTCAGCATGTCTGGAGTGATTTCTCTGCCTCCACGCCAGGACCAGCTGCACAATAATAGCCTCCTCCAATACTAGCACTGGCAACCAAAAAGCTCCTGCAGACAACAGACTAGGGATGCTGATGGCTCAGTCTTCCTTTCTGCTCTTCTAAGCCAGAAAAGCCTAGCATTGGCCATAGTTAGCTCCACAGACACAGAGAGAAGAGGAAGGCTCAAATCCTCACAAATAATTAACCAAGGCATGATGAACAGCATTGCTTTAAACCAGTTTAACAAGCACAAACTCCTCAAAAAGCAGAGTAACCGCACAAACCCCAAACCCCTCTGCAGCCTGGCCGGTCTCCTACCTGCCGTATTTCGTGTCTCCCACCAGCAGCTCTGGAGCTCTGTACCATCGAGTTGCCACATAGTCTGTGTAAGCTTCCCCAGAAGCTGCCAATGTGCGAGCAAAACCAAAATCACAGAGTTTTACCACTCCTGACTGGGAGACCAGTATGTTCTCTGGCTTAATATCCCGATGTATTATCTGCACAGAGAAAAAGCAAGTCAAGCAATTTCCCCACAGGAAACTGAACAGCCCACCAGAAATAGTAGATTTCTCACATTCAGGTAAAAAGACCTAATTTTTGTAGGCATGAAAAACACATCAAGTCTACATAACACAGGTATGTGCACACAGACAAGGACAAAGTGCCAACCCAAGGGCTTCAAAAACTTCAGTTCTTGACGGGTGTTAATTTTATGTATTTCACTGCATGCATTTACCATAGGTATTGCACAAATACTTCATTATACTTAAAAACTGGTCCTGATCACAAATTTTAAAAGCTCTAAGTGTTGCAAGAGGAACAAGCACATCCTGCAATTAAATGTGAAGAGTATTTCAGGAATACCTGAAAGACAGTTTCCCCAATACAAAAAGAAATATATATGGATAGTTACAGGGTCATGACTAAAAGGCAAGCTCATGTATTTACAGACACTATCAGAAACAAGCTTTTGAAAGAGAAACCACCTCCCTCTGTCAGAAGAGAGTCAGTGAGGAAATTTGATTCCTTGGGACTTCTGCATCTTCCCTCAGAAGAGCTCTCATAGCAGTCACAGACAGACCAGTGCAGGAACTGCTGCCGGGCTCTGACGTTTTGTATGAAACTCGGTCAGGCCCTCCTGCTCTACTTCCAACTTCCAGTCAAAGCTTTCCTAAGTGTCACAAATGCACACCCCTGTATCTATCCATTTGAGGTTAACTGCAGAGCTGATTTCTCAGGCATACTTACATTATGGCTGTGACAAAATGCTATTCCTCTCAAAATCTGAAATAAGTATTTCCGAACCCTGCTGTAGTCTAGTCCATTTGGAAATGCCTCAAGATCATCAAGCACTGTGTGATCCACAAATTCAAACACCAGATACCACCGTTTCTTCTTTTTATACACTTCCAGCAGGCTCACAAGATTCTCATGCCTGAGTTGCTGTTACGAAACAGGAAATATTTTGTGAGAGCATGAAAGCATTTAGTGGGTAAACAAAGACCAGATGCCTTTAACTGCAGCCTGGCCAGTGCCGAATGCTCCTCTTGTCGTACTTATCCTAACACCAACAGTCATTTGTTCTTAGAATTAGTTCAGTGATCTCCTCATTATTCCTCCCTCCATTTTTTTTTTTTTTTCTCCAAGTAACTTGGAAGATTTCCACCACCTCATATATGCATATACCTTTTTTGACCCCTAGAAATAAAGCACCAAATAAGACATTTCACTTGCAAAAAGCAATAAACACAGTTTGCTCCTTTTGCACTGGACTGTACCTGTGTCTCAACTTTCTTTACAGGACGTTCTCCTGAAGGTAACCACATAACCCTGCACTATGCTGCCACTTTTCTCGGAGCAGAGCATAGTGCAACTCTAGCTGCTCCTTCTGGATGAATTTCAAAGCATTCAAAGGGTTGCAGAATACAGTGGTCAACATTTTGTTTTATAAAAATGTTTGCTTCTCTCAATAACTCAGCACAAATTCATCTTTATACCATTATCCCAAGAAGTTTTGCTCTTCTCCTTTACTTATCTAGCTTCTTGTTTCTACAATCTCTTACATTCTCATTTCAGTCAAAAACAAAAGCAGCTGCCTGTTCTATTTAGCTGCCAGTTCATCACCACTTAAAACCTCTCTATCTTGATTTTTCTAAGAGATCTATTCAATGGTTTTTCTCTTAAATTCCCACAATACCCACAGCATTTCTGTTGGCACTGTCAGCTTGTGCACATTACAACAGCATGTGCCAGAATACAGGTACACTGAATGGATAAAAGTTCAGCATTCCTCAAGCACTCAGTTAACAATTAAAGATCTATTAAACTGTGTCTAGTGGATTCTGGGTAAAAAGCAACAAGACAAAGATTCAAAGAGTTTATTTTAAAAGGATTTTTAAGAACGTGTATATATTGTTACGCAGGAGGAAAAAGATGGAAATGAGAAAAAGATTCTAAAGAGAAAATAAAGCAGCTCTGTTTTCCAGTTATTTTGTTTTCTCATTTTGACCAGGCCAAATTCCATCTCCAGTCTGTTACACAACTGTAACACCAAAACAACCCCCGCTACAATATGGAGTTATTTATCAACTTGGAGCCTAGCAGGGAAATACCAATGCCACAGGAAGCAGCCTGAAGGCAGAACCGTGCCTCAGGGAGTGTCCAAGCAAGACACAATAAAACTGCAGAGCACGGGACTCGTATGGTAGGTGCTCTGCTGACAGAGAAGTGCAGCCAGGCTGCAGCAGAGAGCTGGTGAGCAGAAGGCTCAGAGACTCTGATTTCTCAGATTTGAAAAATGAAGATTATCAATTAGAAATTTGAAAGAAAGACACAGTATTTTCTTAAGTTTTTGGTCTGAACAACACCAGAATACCTCCTACCTCACAGCTTGGTACCTCTGCCCGAGAGAGCTTCCAACTGCCCAAACATTGGAATGGAGAGGAAAAATGAAAAAAGGGGGTTCACAAGGAGCACACAAATAAAGCAGCTACAAGAAGATTGAATCCTCAGGTAGCTATCCTCACTGTGCGAGGCCATTTGTTGAGATAGATTTCCATTCACCTAGGAAAACATGTTGATTTGCAAGGCACCTGGGAGGCAGTATGTGCTCTGACTCAGTAACTAAGCGAAGCTTGCCAGCAGATCATGTATAATCCAGGCACACGCAGACTGGCTTTAAATGTGTTTTAGAGAACAGTGCGTATAGCTGCTGGCTGCATTGAGCTCCAGAACATACCTTCCTATTAACCCTAAGTGTCTGCAGCTCTTGTAGCGGGGGAGGAAATCTCCTTTTTCCCTGTCTAACACAGGGAATACAGTCTGATAGACTTGGTTAGAGCTGCTTGTGGAAGCCAATTGCAGTGCAGGAGGCACACTCTGCCACCCCACCAGCTGGGGAAAGGCCAGAAACACCCCAACTACACTCTCCTTTGCTTCTTCAGGAGACAGATCAGCCAACAACACCTAGACTTTTCACATGTGCCCATGGACAGACACATGTGCACACAGGCAGGTACACCCTGCACACAACACTTTAAGATACCAAGGAATCTAACAGCTCTGTATGGCAGCACTGTATATATCATCACGGGAGCTCAAGGATGAAGAAAAATGCTGCTGCTACTGCTAGAGCTTACAGTGGAGAACACAAGGCTGAAAGGGGTCATAAAAGCAAGTAGAAGCATGGATGTGTGTCCTGGCGCAGAGTCCAAACCTGCACCCTTAGCTCATGAAGAAACTCATTAAAAAAATATGGCAAAAAAGTCTTGCAGTGAAGCAACAGGAACACGCAAAAGTCTCCCAGAGCCAAGAGAGGGAGCAGGAAGACCACTTGACAAAGCACTGAAGAGCATGCACACAAAAGCCTTGCCTGCCTAAAGCTCCCAGATATTCTTCCAGAGTACCCTCAGCCTTAATGAACCCTTAGTGAACTAACCCACACAATTGACTGCACAGCCTGCCACCACGTAGTGCCACCGACAAGAAGCCACCAGGCAGAAGCATGACTGGACATGTGGGTGAGCAAAGAACACCCACAGCTGATGACAGACAAATCACACACATCAGGAGCCATAATGCCAGCTGGCGGCAGCCTAACCACTGACCCATAAGGTTCAGTGAGCCTGGAGCTCGCCCTCCCCCAGCCACTTGCAGGTAGTTCAAGCCTGCCAGGAAAATGCCATGGAAAACCAGCATATGGCTATCCCAGCAAATGGTGCTGGGATCCAGTCTGCTTAGGCCCGCTGTCAGCCAGTCAGGTCACTGCTCACTCACAGCTTTTATAGGCTCAACATAATCAACAGCAGCAAGGTGCTGCCTGTGGTGCATAAGGCAGAGTCCCCTCCGGGAGGGAATGGAGACCTTGTAGCTCATTTCCTTGTGCATTTACCTACTGAATTTGGGGCACGTAAATGTACTGCTAACCAACCTGGGCCAGCAGCACTTAGCCAGAGGGACAGCACCTGTGCAAGGCTGCAGCTGTAGGCTTAGAGAACCTACCACAGCTTGGCTGCCTGTGGGAACACAGACTGAAACGGATCAAGCCTCCTTTGGTTTAGGTTTTGTTATTTGTGCTGACATACAGCTTTCAAAGCCGACGCAGCGTGTCGGCTGCACCTTCCCCTCACCTTCCCCTCAGCATCGCACTGTGAAGGAACCAAGGCAGTCTCAGCAGGCAGTGCTCTCCCCAGAGCCTGCCGGTCGCTAGGAAGGTTTGAAGCACCTCCATCACATCGATACTCGGACCACAGACACACGGCCGTACGTCCTGCTAAGAGGAGACGTTTGCCTCCTTGACTCGGGATTCGGTCATTACAGTGAACACTGACACTGAGCAGCCCCAGACGGATCTGCCCTACGCGACCGAAGCGCAGCCTCCCCCGGGCCCGCTCACCTTCAGCAGTTTGATCTCCCGCACGGCGATCTTCCTCACTGCCGCGTTGTCCTCGCTCTCCAGGAACTTTTTGACAGCCACCACCTGCCCGTTCTCCTTATTCCTGCACCTGCTCACCACCCCGTAGCTGCCCTCCCCGATGAGGCCCAGGACCTGGTACTTCTCCATCACCTGCTGGAGGAGCTGGACCGAGCCGCAGCCGGAGGGCGACAAGCCCGGGCCGAAGGACCGTCACCGGGGCAACGGCCGCCACCCGCCGTAACGCCCACGGGCGGAGACGAGCGCCCGGCCGCGGGGTCACCGCTGCTGTTCCGTGTGCCCGCCCCGGGGCGGGGCCTCCTCTGCCCGGCGCCGCCTCACCGCTCCGGCGGAGGCACCGCCAGGGCTGTTTGTCGGATGCGGAAAGCTGGTTTTGCTCTGGAAACGCGGCTGGTGCACGTGTAGTACCGACAGCTGGGGAAAGGCTGTACGTAGAATGGCGTGGGATGGAAAGCACCTTAAAGCCCATCCAGCTGCAACCGCCTGCCAGGGGCAGGGTTGCCGCCCACTAGATCGGGTTGCCCTGGATCCCGTCCAGCCTGGCTTTGAGTGCCCCCAAGGAATGGGGCACCCCAGGCTTCTGTGGGCAGCTTTGCCGCTGCCTCGTTGCTCTCTGAGTAAAAAATCTCCTCCTAACATCCATCCTAAATTCCCCCTCTTAGCTTCAAGCCATTCCCCCTTCCCTGGCTTTACCTCTTCTTGAAGCAAAGGTAGGAAACAATTCTTCTCTGCTTTTCATCTGGCTGTTTAATGTCCTCAAAGCAATGGTGAGGGCTCAGATTCACATCTTCCGCTTTGGTGCTTCGAAAAAGCTAAGGCAACAAGAACAACAAATAAAAAAGCCCTTTTCAGGCATAAAACATTTCAACTATTTGCCCTATCAAGTGAAGTCGTGTGAAGCATTTCCTGATATGCATCACAAGAGTATTTGACCTTGTCACGTCTTGCATTAGAAGTTAATCTTCAACTGGATAATGATTCTTGAGATTATCGTATTATTACCATACCCAAAGAAGAGTGTGAGGAGGGCAGGAGACACTGGAGTGGCATTTGACATAAAGTAACAAAAACAAAACAAGCAGCAGTGACAACTTCTCCCGCAGTTCCTTTTTCTCCCCCAGTGTCTGAATTTCTTAGGTCATTTTTAATTTAATGTTCCTGTCACATTTTTGGTAGAGATGCACACAGTAGAAATACTGCAATTTGAAGAAGCTGCCTCCCAGAAAATCAGGACCACTATTCAAGATGCTCACTATTTCTTCTTATGCCATCCTATCAATTTATTGATATGAAGAATGTCAAATGCAAACCTATGTATGATTTCCTGTTGCTCTTTTTGGAGAACCTTTCCCTCTGCTGGCAGCAGCAATAGTGAGGAGCAGGATGAGGTATGTCACAAGGGGGTGTCCCACGAGCCTGTTGCATGGGGTGTGATCCGTAAGCTGGAATACATATCAGCCCTTTCCTAAGTGCCTGCACATTTTTGCATGTTCATACACTAACATTTCCCCTATTAGTGGTAGATGATTTACAGGAGCACAGAGAAGAGATGGCTCCCCAGCAGGCTGTTTATGAGCTGCGTGACCTTGGTTTTTTAAGGGTTATGTATTTCCCTTGAGCAGCAAAGGTTTCCACTACTTTTAATGGCAGTGCAGCATGTGAGTCAAGGTGAGATAGAGTTGCAAGCAGGCTGCACAGGAGAGAATTTCCAGGTTATCCTTAGGCAAACTTTGTAGTAGTAGAGGGAAAAAATACCTTCTCTTGACGTGGGTGGTGCCAAACATCTTAACTCTTCATCAGTCTGTCCGAGCCTCATAGGAAAAAAAAAAATGGTATCAAGACTGTCAATCATGAGTAAGGGGCTATCTCACACATGCTCTGGGGAGATAATCCAGTCAGGCAGGGAAGCAGGTTTGACACAGAACACAGTGAGCCTTGAAAGGGAGACTACCAGAGTGAGGAATGTCACCTGAAGAACCAGAGGGCACTACTGGGATAGAAAGAAACTCCACAACCTCTGCAGCTTTGCTCTCTGCAAATTTTAACTCCGCAATATAAACGGTACTAACCCCAGTCAAATACCTCCTGTGCGGCCAAGTGGTGAGAAGGGCAAACACAAGTGACATGAATTCAAGTTTCCTGTTGCTGCAAGGGCAGCAGCCAGCTGGGGAATCTTCCAGTCCCAGTCACTCCTGTCAGCCACACACACACACACAGCCCCCATTCAGTCATAACAAGGACATCCTTTTGAGATGATTTCTGGTCATCCTCTTCCCCAAGCACCAAGGTTTTACTGAACAGTTTCCACGGAAGAGTAATTCTGCTGACTCAGAGCCAAAAAACAGAGCCGCTGGGAGACCTTACCAGCTGGCTGGCTTTCTCCCCCCCCAGGGTATGATATTGAACGCCCTCTATTTAGCAAACCATTCAGCAATTGGCCCACACAAACCGCAAATAATACCTTCTTACCTGAAGGCAATAAAAGCATTTTACCTTCTTTCATGCAACAAGACTGTTACATTAAAAGCCTCTTCAATTTTAAACACAGTGATTAACTTTTGTTGGCCCAATCACCAAGCTCAGAGATACTATCTGCTTCAGGTACTCTTTCCAATCCATGAAGTACCTAAAAGTAGTTATTCCTCCAAACAGAAAAATCACCTTGTACTTGCACAGAAGGACTGCCACGTTATCTAAAATCACAGCAACACCAAGTACCCTCTGAAGACAGAACTTTATCGAAACCCCAAACTTTGCGCACTCCAAATTGTACTTTATAAAAGCTATTGTTTTGCTGCCCCATTTCAACTAATTAAATGCACTGCATTCATGCTCCCTTGGAAACTTCAGTATTATGTTTCTGTGCCACCACATTTTCTATTCTTTTATTCCTTTAATTAAAAAAAAATAAAATCAGATTGCAAGCAGTCACGCTCTGAAGCTGACAGTGCTCCCAGCACCTTTTCTTTTTCCTGAGTCAGCCCCAAATGGGGATCTCTAGGGATCTAGTCCCCTTAATTCATTTGACTCCCAGACTTAATAGCTAGTGCTGCTTCACCCTGGTATAGGTCATTCTGTTCTTTGTACCTCTTAATTACTGTCCCATCAACCACCTTCCTCTTACCTAGTGTGCTACATCCTGTGTGTTTGTTCCTGAAACTCCCAGCATTTGTGTGGAAGAAAGTGAATAAACCTGCTGAGTTTTTCTTTTCCTCCTCCTCCCACAGCAATACCAGAGTTGTGCAACAGTGTCACTGCACATGCTGTCAACCCCTGGGATTATCCAGATTAGATATAGAAAATAGTTAGCTTCAAGGTCTTCAGCCCACATTTTTATTTCTCCACAGCCAGTAGTGCTCCTGTAACACCTCTCAGAATTTGTCCAGGAAAAAAAAAAAAAAAAGATCTCTGTTGTGATTGTAAATATTTGTGCACAAAGCATAGCTATGTAGGTTTTAAGTATATCGCATGCACCAGACTGTGCATGTGGCTCAGCATCCTGGGCAAGAATAGGAGCACCGCTTCTTCCCTGTGTGCTTCATCCTGTCAGATGGGGATGTGCTGTGTCAGGCTCACCACGTGGGAAAGGTGCCTCAGCAAGAAATGTCAGACAAGGAGCTGTCTCAAGCTCATGAGCCGCTGCAATCTAAGTCATTTGGCTTTGAAGAAACCAGCTGTGCTGCTTGCACTCCCTTGCTGTGATGTTGCCTTTGAAGGATAGGAGCACCCCCAAGATACCAACCAGGCAACTCCTGCTCCTACCTCAAATGCAGTGCCTAAAGCCCTCCCAGTCTTTCCTTGGTAAAATGAGACTGGCCAGACTTGTTAACATCACACCGCCCCATCTCAAAGCTTTCCTTTTCAAAGGAGGAGCCGTCTACTCACGGGTTCATTGATTCCCAGCCCAGCAGGAATGTTTGCTCAGGCATGGACAAGCCACACCTCTGATGACTGTAACAGGCACAGCTCGCTCTATTTTGATAGTCTATCAGCTAGGTTTATCAACGTATATAAACAAAAACTCCCCTTTACAGAACTTTTCCTACTTCCGGACAGTTGTCCCGGCAGAGCATGCGGGGGCTGTGTCTGAGCTGAGCTCACCTGTTATTTCAAGAAATTTTAATAGCAGGTTTTAAGCTACTTATTTACTTTTTTTTGGTCTGTGCAGGAAGTCTGAGCTTAAAAAAAAAGACAGAAGTATAATTACCCTGGCACGCCTGCATTCCTGCTCCAGGCTCAGGAGGGAGGGGAGTCTTTCTCATCGGTGCAGGCACGTTCAAGCCAGGAAGAGAACCGGATCCCTGGAGATCATTGCCACCAACGTGTGTAACTGAAACCCACAGCCATGCTGAAACAGATATTATCGGAGATGTACATTGATCCTGACCTGCTAGCAGAACTCAGCGAGGAGCAGAAGCAGATCCTCTTCTACAAGATGAGGCAGGAGCAGATCAGACGGTGGAAAGAAAGAGAAGCTGCTGCAGACAAGGTTTCAGCAAAGAAGCCACTGCCAAAAAAAGGTAAGAACTTCCTGCTCTGGCCCAGATCTGACCAAGTCTGCTGCGCCCTAGAAATGGGAGCTAACATGTTCCCTAGAGCAATTTTTTCTCCCCAGGACACATCATAATTGTATTTCCAAACTGTAATTAAGCCCAGCTCTGATGGGGTAGTTTTGGCCTCTCACACAACGGTTTTATTCTCTGGCCCCGATGCTCTTTCCTTAGCCAAGTTTCCAAAATCCCCTTCCTGAGAAGGCATGGCTTACTTGTCCCCTAGAGCAAGAGCTTCATCTCATCCCCCCCGCTCAATGGGGGTCTCTGAATCTATCTATAACATAACCTTGGACTTGAACACCTCTCCCAGGATGTCAGCAACATACAGGAGTTTGGTGAGTGCTTTTACACGGGCTGAGGCACCAAAACGATGCCTTTAGACCTGAAGTCTCCTCGTCTTTGTTAGGATTACATAGCATGCTCTCTTCCAGGACTGCAGCACTGTTCTCTCAGCTCTTTCTCACCTGCTCTGTTTGCAGATAGCTCACCCCTCACCAGTCTCTGTACCAAGGGGTTGGGGAGGGCAGTGGCAAGGAAGTGGAGAAAGAAAAGAAACAGTGACATCCCTAGCCTCTAAAATAAAAAATGTCTCCTTCACTGACCTGGCTGCAGTACCATGAAATGAAAAGGCAGGTGTGTCCTGTGTCCCAACTGATTTTTTCCCATGTACCGCTGCTTTTGGAAGGGTACTGCCAACAGCAGCAGCCAAGGGACACAGGTCCTGCAGACAGCTGCTGACCAAACTGTTTTCAAAAAAGCCACTTCTTTTCCAGCCAGCACGAAGTCTGTACAATGGAAGCTAGGTGCTGACAACGATGTCTGGGTGTGGGTGATGGGTGAGCATCCTTCAGATAAATCCTATGCAGCCATCTGCGAAGAGATCCAGGCACAAAGGGCCAAGCGGTTAGCAAATGAGCAAGGCAAGGAGGCCAGGTAAGCACCCTTCCCTTGGAGGACTTGGGGGGTGGACAGGGAGGAAAAGACCTTACTAGAAAAGAGAGGCTGCACTCTTCTCCGGGGACTCTCTCCTCTGCTCTGTAATTTTTTCTCCTCACCAGGAAGCAAGCAGACAAGTCCAGCACTGCCACAGAGAGTAACACTAATCTTTTTGTAAAACCCCTTTTCTTTCCTTTGATGTAAAGCTTGGGGCTGGGTGCAGTCATCACTGTCACACTCTACTTACAGAGTAAAGGCACAGGCTTTCTGCACATAATACCAGCAGAGACCAACTCCAGCTTGGGGGCTGCCCCAGCTCCTCAGTCTCCCAGGATATCCCTACTGTGCAGTAACTTCACAATATCACAGGAAATGGTAACTATTTCTGCAGCAGGCCACGTGTTTGGATTGCACTGATTCACCAACAGGTGCCTGCCTGCCTACAGCAGACCAACAGTTAGTCACAATGAGTAACTAATTTAATTCTACCTGATTTGGAGACACAACAGCTGCATGCAGGCACACTGCTCCATCACAGCACTACTTTGCTTATGTGTAATTTCCTGTGAGATGTTTATAGAGAGCAGAAAGTCACTCCCTGGTATTCCTAAGAACTGTCCCTTGTGTTTCAGAGAGACAGACTGTGCTGTAACACAGTCTCCGCAACCACAGCCACAAGTCCTGGGTGAAACAGAAGTTCAGGGAAAAAATAAAAACTCTGTAGAGGAACAGAAAGAAGAGGCGAGAAAAAACACTGCTGGTACAATTGGGAAAAGCCAGGAGCTCAAAAAGGTAGTTTTCCCCTTTTTTCCACACTAATCATGATCATTTGCTTTGAGATCTAGGAAGTGCAGCAAATCCTGGTTGCTTTAAATAGAAATCTGAGAGAAAAGCCAGCTGACGATTAAGGCTTTTCTTCTGTACTTCCAGGACAAGCCATACTGCTACATCCTTCCGTAGGACTTAGAAGGTCTAAATGCTATTGTTAGCTGGGACAGATCTGCTCAGCACCATTAGCTACTCTCAATTCCTTTGCTTCCATTCTCCACGGATAAAGTGAGGGTCACAGTAATTTCTTTCCTGCTCTGTGTCAGTTTGGACTGCTTTTCAGACAAGACCAGGGCAAGCATCCCAGGATGGCCCTCAGATAAATCATCTACTTTCACAGAAGATGAGATGAATGTAGTTCCAGTATTCTCTAACATATGTATCCTCAAGTTCCCTCTTCTGTTGTCTTTTTTTTTCTTTTTTCTTTTTGTCTTCTAGAGAAGATGACAGTTTATAAACTTGACAGCATAGGACAAGTCCAAATGCAGTAACTATAGTAACAGCATCTCATCTTTACTGATGTGTTTTATTACAGAAATATTTTTCTCCAGTAATAAATATATTTGTACTGTTTAACTAGCTACAAAAAGCCATTTGCAGAGAACTGAGATTAAAAAAAAAAAAAAAAAAAATTAGCTACCAATGCAATCACAGTTGAACAGAAAAGTCCTGCCAATTCAATGGGAGAAGTCCAATTTCATTCTGTGAGGCTTTCATTCCAGCTTTCACTGCTAACTTCCGTGAGTGTATATTCCTCTATTACACAGCCATGCCATATTTCAGCATAAAAGCATTGTAACTGAAAGCTGGGTTTGGGTCAAATGCCTCTCCCCCTGCTGCCAATATACTGAAGGGAATTTGGTGGCTGAGTGGCTGACTCCTTTATCAGATGTTTCTGAATCACACAAGGTTTTTCTCAGCACTGTTTGCTCAAGTTGAGCCACTATGTGGGAGATCCTTTCCCCCCCCCCCTACCCTTTTTTAAAGAAAACTGTTAGTCAAAATTAACAAAAAAAGAAACCCCAACACCACATCAGCCAACTAAAAATCCCACTACCAAAAATACAAAACCCTAATAAACTTCTGCAAATTTGAGGGGTTTTGCCTATTTCACTTTCTGTTTTCTGTCACTGTATTATAAATAAGTAATTTTCCCAGATTTCTGATGTTTTTGCTAGCCAAAGGGAGGATGCAGACTGCAGACCCAGATGTTGCATTTTGTAAGCGTGGAGAGGAAGGGGAGCTTTCTCTCACCTCCCTTGTTACATTGCTTTTTCTGTACCTGAAGGCTCTGAGCATTGTGCTTTGCTGCAGAGGCTGTGGGGGTAGATCTAAGCTGCTTCACTCAAGTTTTAAGTTCGTAGTTCTTTGTTTAGGAGATGGAAATTGGAAACCCAGGTTTATATTAAATATTAGCTCAGCAGGTGATGGAGAAAGCAAAGATGTCCTTGGTAAGCAGTTTAGTACAGCTGACATATTACTCATTGTACTGTGGGAGGCAGTCTGGGTCAAACAGGGAGGTGGGTGGGTGTTTGCTCAAAGACGAGACCCATCTTTTCCTAAAAGACAGGTCTCAGCTGCTAGCACAGCCAGACTGGTTTTAGGAAAGAGAAAACACAAGACACATAGCTAGTTGGTAAGTCAGATAAGCGGCTGTTTACAGTAGTCAGCTACAGCAGCAACTGAGCAAAGGCAGGTAGAGCTGTAGGTGGCAGGCTCTGCTAGGGCTTGATTTACAGAGAGAGAAAGAAGGGAAGCTGTCTGCTCCCTGGGACCACTTGAGAGTGTCACTTAGCAAACATAAGCAGACTTGGGATGACTCTTGACACCCCTGACTCTTTCTCCTGCGGCACATAAGATTTAATACGATGAAAAAACTGGCAAAATTTGTTAACATAGAAGTCACATTACTCCTTCTGCACTGAACTCCCATAGTCCAGCCCCTTGCATATGCAGGACGTGAGACAGAAGTGTACCTCAAGTCCTGAGCACAAACAAAATGCACTCTGGGAATGCTTTGCTGGTGCAAAAGGGTAAAGCACTCTCAAGAGTCTTGTGCTTTACCTGGGAGGAGAATGAAAAGGAGAGAGCAGCTGCTGCTTGGGATCAGCTCTGAAAATGCAGAATGCTACTGCCTGCCCTACTGGGCTCACCAGAGAAATCTGTGAGGAAAGAGCAGTCTGCAAAGCACAAAGCATGGCACTTCAACACAAAGAGCATTCCAAGCTACGGCAGCCCACAATCTCCACCTGCAATCATCCAGGTTTTTGTCAAGAGCACATCCCAAAAATGAGTGAAAGTCCAAATTTTGCTTTTATTTCTCACTGCTCTTTTCCTTTGCCCAGAGGGAAGCCCGGGATGTTCACCAGATGCTGGCAGACTGCCAGATGAGGAAGGGTGGCTTCTCACAGGTAAGTTGCAACCTAGGATGCTCCTGACTTTGTGTCAGATCCAAACACGATCTTTAAGTCCCAGTCAGCCTGAGACTCATCTGCACCAAGGATGTTCACCTCTTGGCCCAGTTCTGCCCAGTACCACCATGCTCTTCTAGAACAAAGCAGGCCAGCCTGGCAGATTGGGGAATAGCATGTGAAGATGTTTCAGATCATTTCTGTTTTGCCCTTCTTTTTCTTTCGTAACCTGCAGTAAAGGAAGAGGTTCTGCATGTTGAAATCAAAGGAATTTATAACCAAGAATGAAGTCCCTAGTTTTTCAAAACTAGCTGAAAAGCAGGGCTAAAGCTAGCCTGGAACAAAGCACTGAACATACCGTTTCTTTCACAGATGAAGGGAGGACACAGGAGAAATTCGGGAGAAGAGACTACAGTCCTGCTGAAGGCAATATCCCAAAGCCACAAATGCTCAGAGAGCCAGAAGGTGGTGCAGAAACCTGATGAGAATGAGCCTGAGTGGCAAGAATCCTGTAAGATCTTAGGATGACCTTTTCCTACAGGCCTTGAGAAATCTTAGGGCTCTGTGTGGTCACCTCAGTCATTCCCTTGCAAAACTGGAACTCTGTATTTTTCAGTTAGTAGGTGAAAAGTACTGCCAAAAAATACAGAGCTGCATTATCAGAAATTTTCCTGTGTCCACACAGCATTGAAACTAGTGCTGGACAGTGAATTGGCAAATTTATCCTACACAAAATTCTCCACTTGTAAATATTTCCCATTTTCAGTCTTCTCTATATTTTGATTAAAGAGCTCTTGTTTTTGATTGAAAGCTGATAGATTTAAATAATAATCAACAACGTCAAGCAGAATGAGTCTTGCTGGCATTTGACAGCCCTCAGATACCCTATGAAAATAATAACAGATGGGACCCACATGAGTGTAGCCACGGTAATTCATTTTAAACTAAAAGCAGGCCTTCGGCAGAAATTTGCAGCAACCACTGCCTGTGTGGGAAAGAATTATAAGTAGTGAGGATGAACCAAAAATGATTATTTCAAAAGCTCTTAGTTCATAGCAAAGGAAACTTTTCAAACTTCAGAAATCAGTGGGAAGGGCTTTTGCTACTCAGTAAAATTCTGTACTGTGCAGAAGATCAACACTGGGCCAGGGTAAGGCTCCTTCTTGCACAACAGGACAGTATTGTGGAGAGGTAAGCTGATCTGAGACCTCGGAAATAATATGAAACATGAAAGAATGACATTGCATGAAACACAAAGGGCCACTCCAAATCTCCCTGCTTCCTATCCTCCCTTCCTCAAGGTTGGACTTCATCTTGAAGATCTTTTCCAACCTAAGCAATTCTGTGATTCTCTGCAAGGCACAGTCCTCTCATCTGCTTCCCTTTTACACAAAAAAAATCTCATTGATCCAGAGGCCCTGCTGCATCTTCTAATATAAACAATCCAATAAACAAGATCAAAAATGACACAACAGTGTGAGACTTACAGTAACACCTACCACTGCTGCCAAGTATGTCCTGAACCCTCTACTTATGTTACTACAATGACTACATTTCCTTCTAGGATCTCTCATAGTAACCACACATCTCAAAGCTCAGTTTTCAGCATGACCTGATTAAAAAATATATTCAAGTTGATTCCTTTTGAGGGAATCTTGCTGTGCAGCTTTTTCAGAGACTTGAAAAAAAGGGTCACAAGCTTAGTATACAGAAAATAGAGAAATACCCTGTCCCTCTGCTTGCCTTTGTTTCCATCCAGGTTCAAGTTCTGCTCCTCACGTCTTCCTTTCCTGGGGAGAAGGAAAATTGAAGGCAAACGTAATGCTTTTTTTTCCTAGTTTCTCCCCTACTCTTCAGTAGATGGCAATGCTGTACTACCATTTGTCTTCACTTCAGGCCAAGGCTTCTGTTCTTCTAATTAAAAAAATGAATTTGATTACAAAAGCACAGAAAGTACTAGCCTAACTCAGGCTGAAGAGCTGGTTACTCAGCAAAAACAAACAAAATAATATCCAGCCAATTTCTCCGCTCCACAGAAGAGTCACAGCAACACTCCCTTCCCTTTGTAAAGCCTATCAAGATTTTCAAATCCTTTAGAGGATCCATTTGTGGTCATTTCAGCAGTTTTTCTGCCTCCCCAGTCTGCTGGAAATAGAAACAAAAGTTTTTGTTCAGGTATTGCTGTGGCTTTTCCAACATTATTTCACTGCATGCAGCGTAAAATCTCTTTTCCTCCTGATCTTTATCAAAGTTAGATGGATTGGGGCAAAATTCCTGTCTCAGTGCACTAATTAAATTGAAAGGCTAAAGGGCCACTTGCTTCTTCCATCTTCCTTTCTCCCACCCTCTCCAGCCTTTGAAGAAAGGCATACTTGTACCATTTATAATTAAGTGGGGATTTTAATTTGACAAAGTAATTGTGCTTTTTCCCCCCCATTTCATTCAAAAAGTCTATGGGTCAGCTGAAAACATTTTCTTATCTTATTGAATAACTGTTCCTTCTTGCTCAGGTCTCTGCTCACACAAAAGGCATCACAGAAATACATGTCTGAATCAAGAGTCACATGAAACAAAACCAAGTCATTTCTAAGTACAAAGATAGAACTCAGATTTTTATCCGTTGAAGAAATAAGAACTGGGCTCTTTTAAATAGTAGCTGCCAAAAGTGGTGTGAGAGAGGTGACAAGTATTCTCACAGATAAGTGCATTAAAGTGGCCAGAGTAGCTGAGCCACTCAAGGCTTGCAGGGAAGATAAATGACTTCCAATACATACAATCTAAGATGCCTGTTTGAAAATAGAGGAGGGGAAGTACTTCAGTTCCAGAGCTCCCTCCCTCCGTAGTAACACCACTTGTGCCTAGTGCTGGGGCACGGAGAGAACCTAAAAGATCTGAAATGCATTATTCTTCAGCTTCAGCAAGCAGAGAGATGGCTAAGCAGAAGCAAGTTCAAAACTTGCCTGCTTGTTCGCTCCTGTATGACTGCTTTTCTGTTCCAGTGCGGAAATCCAAGGCAGCAGATGAGAAGAGACGCTCTCTTGCGCGGCAGGCCAGAGATGACTACAGGAGGCTTTCACTGCAGGGAGCCCACAGAGGGAAGCAGGCAGACATATCCAGAAATGCCACAGCAGGAGATCGGCGACCGCTCCAATACCCTCCTCTCCCACCAAAGCCTAAACTTCCACCTCCTGTGATGGCGAATGGCAGAGCAGTTAGGTGAGAAAAACGTGCACTGTTCGAGGAAGGGGAAAGGGAGTGGGATTCTTCTGCTCTGGCAAGGGCTGGTTGAGATGGGGAAGGCCTGTTCTCCTCATGGAGAGGAAACACTCCACAGGGAAAAATAAGAAAGCTAAACTATATTCCAGCGTAGGGTATAAAGACTGTGACAGAGCTGTTGATCAGTGATGAGGTATATTTGTTCACACCTGGAGATTAACCATCAGTCTGGGATTCTCACTGACATTACCGTTCACTAAAATAAACTCTCATACCAAAAACTCCATTTCAGTGACAAAACTGAGACAGTTCCTAATAGGCTGAACAAAAAAGCAATTCTTGCCAGGATCCAAAAGCTGTCATTTCAACTTGATATGCAAATCACTGTCTTTTGTAACAGGAAAGAGGCAATCCAGAGAACAATCTCCAATTCAGCTGAACAAAGCATCATCAAGTGGTTCAAAGAGGAGCAATTCCCCCTTCGAGCTGGGTATCAGAAAACCACAGACACGATAGCACCTTGGTTTCATGGTGAGTCCTGAGCGCTTTTGCCCCAACCCAACCTATTAAGGAGTTGTTTCAACTAAGAGGGCTGCTATAACAGACTGATTCCATTAACTTTTTGAAGGTAGCTAAGTTTTCAATTTTTAAGTATGTACAATAGTTTGAATTTCTCTAATTATGACAAACATCAAGCTAAAGTCTTAAGAGTGAAAACCAGATCTCGACTTCTCATAGCTAGTTGTAACAGGCCTAATATGCTGGATGTAGAACAGTTAGCACAAAGTACAGTTAGCTTGACACCACGGTCTGCTACAAGCAATGGCAGTACCTCTCTTGGACTGCTGGGAAGAAAACATGCAGGGGATAGAAGCACTGTGAATTAGTTTTAGAATGGTAAAGAAGGTTTCCTGGTGGAATTGCTCCATCTGCTCCTGAACAAATGCTTTTCTCACTTCAATTCTGTGTTGTGGCTTTGAACAGGTATCCTAACCTCTAAGAAAGCAGAGGAGCTTCTGAGTAAAACAATGCCGGGGAGTTTTTTGATCCGTGTCAGTGAGAAAATCAAAGGCTACGTGCTTTCCTATCGGTCTGCAGAGGGATGTAAACACTTCCTTATTGATGCCTCCAGTGATTCCTACAGCTTCCTTGGAGTAGACCAGCTACAACATTCAACACTGGCTGACCTTGTTGACTACCACAAGGTGAAGGTCTAGCAATGCATTCATTAACTATTTTTTATGTAATTGCCTCAGGGCACTTCAAAATAAGAAGGATCAGATTCAGTTGTTATCATGTGGTTAACTAGTCCCATTTTATTTCTACTGGGTATTCTATGTGATGTTCCAGAAGGGTATGTGTCCCCCAGTGGGGACAACCAAATACATCACAGATGTCTTAGACTTGAATTGCTCTCCCTTACGTAGGCAGAACACATTGTACAGGGCTCAAGTTACTACACATTATTTAGCAGAACTGCTGATAAGACAATAGGTGACAGCATTCGGACTTGTTATGATTTTCTCTGTGGTTGTGGAGTTCCAGCAATTTCAATAAATAGAAAATAGTTCACCTCCAGCTTAAGAAAGCAAGAGAACGAGGTATATTTATAATTTCAAAGCAGGCAAGGTACATGGATATGGAGCAAACGTAGCAAATAATGGAAGAGAAGGAAGAAGGCCGTCAGGTCCTTATGACAGCAACATCAAGCGTTTGCTGGCACTGACTGCAGTTGCATAGGCTCCAAGGTCCAGACTGTGCATTCATTTACTGTAAGATCTGTCCAGAGACAGGACAACCATTTTGCCAAAAGGTTCACATAAAATTTATACTTCTTTTAATTAAGTGCCTAGCATAATGTAGACGTGATTAAACTAAAATGGTTTATGAAGAAAATATCTATGCCCATCTGCTATGTGAAACTCTCTCTGGGCTACTTCAACCTGCTTCTTGCATAGGTTTCACAGTCCAGGCTGAATCTGTTGAAAGCAGGAGTTAGACAACTTACTGGCACCAGAGCTGGAAAATTTAAAGCCTGGGTGTGGATGCCTGTATTAAAAATAGAGTCACACCCACAGTCTGCAAAGAATCCTATGGACTCTACTACACTACAGCAGATGTGTGTGGGAGCAGGGCAAACCTACCTGGCTAAAGTGCTCTGGTAGGTTCTGCTCATCACCCACTGGGTAACCATGAAAGAAGGCGACTTCACACCATACATCTACTACTGGGATTGAGAACAGGATGGGAAACAGAAACACGGTTTCCAGGGAATTCTTGTTAGAAACAGGCTACCAAAGCAGAAGGCACATACTCACTTGCAGGATCCACTCCCACCCCTTTCACAAACACAACTCCCACTTGTGGGCCTCCCACCTGCACTAGTGGAGCTGCAGCAAGCTTGCAGTCCCACTAACTTGCATGCCACACAATCCTCACACCAGAAATTCCTAGGCAGGACAGCATTTCTCACTGTAGAAGCTGCTTATATTACAAGATAAGCATAGCTGTTTCCAAGACCTACCAGAATCATGTCACTGGATTACCAGACCAAGCATAAACATTTTCTTGAAGGCAGAAACCAGCCACGCAAATCTGCTTCCTGAATTCCCAGGGCTCTTACACATATCACACATTAATAGGTCCACAGTAATGGAGTGGCAATATATTGGGATATTCCAGGTATACTGGCCTGTTTGAAAAGTGTTTAATTGTATTCTTTGTCAACAGGATGAACCCATCACTTCTCTGGGAAAGGAGCTGTTGCTTTACCCATGTGGTCAAGAGGACCATGAACCAGATTACATCTCTCTCTTTGAGTGAAACTCCCAGTCTCATTATGTAGCCCCGTACCGTTTTCACCAAGACCGCACTTCAAACTGGAAGCGGCTGATGCTTACCTGAAACTTGCCATAAGTGCCTCTATTTCAAATCCTTCTCAACAAAGCAGTGGGAAAATAAGTGCTGTCACACAGGCTTATTGTTTCAACAGAGTTAAAAGATGCATCAGTCCAGCAAGCTACAGAACATCCAGATACATCATGCATGTGGATTAGACGATGAAGCATCAGTCGAACAGAGATTTTTGCAGATTTCCTCAGGGATATCTGTGTTCAAGCTGCATTTTGCTCTTGAATGCAAGGTTGCCTGCTGTCTGGGAAACAGATTGGTACCTAAAATCGAATGAGATCATAGCTTCCTGAAGGCACCAAACAACTTGGAAAGTGAATCAGCCTTGATAGTAATTTGTTTAATGTGAAACAGTGCTGTAAAATGCTGTGCCCTTGGAATCAAGGATGTTCAAGTAAAACATCCAAGCATACCCTTGGTGCCTTTCAGTGAAATGTGTTCTCTGAAGAGGGATTTTTATAAAAAATACATTTTAAAAATTCCTTGAGCATCTGAATGTAGGCTATGAATATAGTTTTCTAACCTGTATCTAAATCCCACACTGGCCTTTCTGCCTAGAGTAGGATTAACCTTTTGCAAGGAAGTGGAGAAGGGATGCAAGAATTTGTTAGTAAGAACTGCATTCACAGAGCCTAAATAATGTAAGAAACAGGGCCTGTATCAGTATTAGTACAGTTTACGGAAGTGTTTGCCAGTAAATAATGCTGTTTTTCAGAATAGAGCTATTTATTACTAGTTGTGTCCAGATTACTGGGACGCAGATGGTGTGAACAGAACCATTTTTTTTCTTTTTTTTTCCCCCCAAAAATGTTCTCTCTTTGTATCTGTTACACTGCTCTTAAAACTCAATTAAGAATATTGAGGAAGAAGCTGAACAGAATCGCATAAATTAATCCTCACCCAGATTGCTTCAATTTGAATTGTTTCACATGAGAAAATGCACAACTTGGGATTATTGCGCAAGACTGCTAACACCATCATTTATTAGAGATGTGACTGTCAAAGAGTAAGTACTCACTTGTTCACTTGTTCCCTTCCTTCAACTGGATCAGGGATACCCTGCTTAACAGAAGCAGTCAAAAGCTTGAGTCTTATATGGACCAGCATTTTGCAGAACATAGATAAGAAGAAATTCTTATCATCACCTGGTCTTAAAATTTACAGTCATGCTGATAGGTGGTTTCCACAGAGAGCATAATCAGCATTCCAGCTGCAGCATGTTTAACTAGAGATAAAAGCCTTAATGTAAATTGAGATTCTGAAAGTAGCAACTGTAATGGGACAACAGATTTAAGGAACTTCTTGAGCATTATATCACATATATGAACTAGTTATTTTCAAAATAATCAACATCGATCATGAGAAAGGACACTAAGCAGTCTGTAGGGGGAAAAAAGCTATCCTTCCCTCTTCTGAACTACTTCTTCTGAGAAATTCTAAGTCACAGAATCACAGCACTAGAGAATACCTTCTCACGTTCTCAGGTGTACAGCATAGCAGTTGTCCTGCTGGAGACTAATCATACAGAATTTTGTGTAAGTATGGGCTAGTAAAAACCAGACAAAGTCTCTGTTAAAAAGGTGGAGTCTGAGAGCTCTCAGGGAGAGAAAACTTGGGAAACAGTCTGTTAACTTGCAGACTTAATGTGCAGGTTGATTTGGCACTGACACAGCAGGACCCCACAAACATGAGCAACTGTGTCTCTGAGATCCATAATGGGCCTCTTCACTGTTTGGACTGCTGACTAGTGGATACCTTTGTATTATAACTTCCTATTTGCAAGTTACCCTTAGAATGAGTGAAGCAAGGAAGAATCAGAGATGCCGGTTTTATTCACAGTCTGTAGAAAAAGTCCACAATTTCTTCTTCAATGGATGCTGTGCAAGTATTACAAGGGTAATAACATTAGTAAACTACTTGCTGAAACAATTATGACAGCTGAAAGGACATGTCAATTTATTTAGTCAAAGGCCTTCATTCCTTTAACCAGAACATCCCAAAGTCCTCAAAAAGTAAACCCAGAAATTCCCGTGTGACCTGTCCGAATGTGAATAGTGACCTGTATTCTCTCCCCAGCTAAGATCCTGTTAAAACTGCCTTTCTGAGAAAGATCACAAGATGTCCGTTTCTAGGACACGGAAGGTAGAGAGCTGCCTATCAAAAGCTACACTTATGTTGGATGTTCATATAATCAGCATGAAAGACCTCCAATTGTCTATGGAAGTGTAGGTAATAACAGCTTCCCTTTCTCTTTTTTCCATATCAGTACAGTCTCCATGCTTAAGCCAGGCCTACCAGACTTCTGCTGTGATTAGCTTTTCCTCTGAATCTCACTGGGATGGCCAATGACTGTGGGCTGGTGCTCTCATCACTGATTCATTCCCACCTTTTGCCAAACTAGGTTCTGCAGCCAGGAGACAGAAAGCACATAGACAGTATTACTCCTGGCATCCCTATGGGAAAAGACATGCAAGAAAAATCACAAGAGATCTCAAAAGAAAAAAAAAAAAAAAACCAACAAAGCCAACAAACTTAACTTGTGCAACTTTGACATGGGCTTGATGATGTGCTACACCCAAAGTAGCAAAGTATTGAACTTACAGATGCCCAAAGCTTAGAATTAGAAACTAATTTAGGTTTCAATGGACTTCCAGAGATCATCCAACCATGCTCAACAAGTAGGACGTGCCAACCTCAGAGTAACATTAAGCTGCTCAGGGCTTAGGGTATACTTAACAGAAGATGATGGAAAATATCACAGGAAATAGAAAAGGTCAAGTTCAAGGCCGGTTGCAATTATGAAATTTCTACTATATGCATCATCCATTTTCAAATCCAGCTTAAATGGGACTATAGGAAAAGCTTTCACTTTGGAACAGAGCTGATCACAGCCCTCAGATGTATTCAACATGCCTGACTCCTCCCAGTACAATAACATTTGTCAGATTCCTCCATCAGAACAGATTAACTTAAAGAATTTATCATGCATGCTGGAAAGAAAACCATTCTTTGGAAGATCTACTTGAACTATTGCTGATAGCATTGTAAGTGATACATTAAGGGTTCTTTCCTAAGCACGGAGTTCTCTTTCCAGCAGATCCTTGTGTATTTTTGCACAATTTTGGGACATGTTTGGTGTTCCACACGGAAAGTGCAATGAAGGTCACTTGCATCTAACAAAAGGCAAATATGTAAACGTACAAAGGAAGACGTACTAACAGTAGTAGCACGTTCTTTGCAGATTCTGCATGCAGTGCTTTCTAGAGAGGTTCACGAGCACTCTTCCTATCACTCAGCCAAAGGACAAATAGCATTTTATTCATTCATAATTACTGTCTTTTATACTTGTTGCCCCTAGCTTTGACAACCCAAAAGCCACATTACAATCTAGTTTCAGACAGCCTTGAACTAGTTCGTAGCTATAAAATAAAGAGACCACTGGGAGAAGCAGCACTTAGGTAAATAAATGGATTGACAAACCCATGCATTTTTTGTTGGCTATTTAACATTGAAATGATATACAGCAGTCAGCATTAAACCGCTCTACAAAAACAATAGCTCACTTGGAACAGTTAGATCATTGAAAAAAAACTATTAAGATGGCTGATTTCATGAACACACAATTACTGTAAGAGAATTTCCAGGGTTCAGTAATTCATTAAAAAAATTTATTTTGTTAATTACAAAATCTGCTATGCCCTGGGCAAGATTCTAGATTTGGTTCAGATGGAATACTTTGGTATAAAGTCAGAAAATTTTCATTAATTTTTGTAACTGGCATTCAGAATTTGAAGTTTCCTGCTAAACCAGTACTCCAAGTTGAAATACGTTTCCTCTTCTCCAGCATAAAGCTTCTTTCTTCCAGCACTCAGATTCTACAGTAAAATCAATTCATTTATCTGAGCAAAGTTCCCATCCAGGAAAAACAGAACTGCAGAACATTTTCCAAGCATTGGAAGGTTGTACTGTTTCCTAGTAAGGCTAGAATTTGAAAACCACAAGTATTGACAACTTAATTCCCAGGCAAAACCAAATCCATTTTAAAGAAAGAATGTTGAGATACTTACAGTATTCTGAAGCAGAAATACACCATCTGATTCATGTGATACAGACAGAGACAATTGCTTTTGGTTTACTGTCCACAAAATAGAACAACACTAACCTCACATGTTCTGGAAAAATCACAGTTGACTGGCAGGATTTTCTCTTTCTGAATTTTAGAAAGCACTGAAATGGCTCTTGTCACTGAATCAACTGGTGAATAATCCTGTAAGTACACTGCAGCTGCCCCCCCCACCCAACTCCCAAAAAGGAAAAAAGACTTTTGGTCACTCCAGCTTAACCACTGTTAATAATCAGATTTCCTTTTCAGAGCAGGTACTCTGTATCTTTGAACACAGCCTTTTTTAGATACGTAGAAAATAGCTCATTATTATTGATCCACCGAAGGGTCAATCTTTTAAACAACTGCATGCATCTTACAAACATTCCAGTGGAAGAGCATCTCCTTCTTTACTGTATCACAGTGATATTTATGAAACCTTCATTGTCTCCATGACCTTTTATCTCACCAAGCGTTCAAGTCTCCCCTGGAAGCAAGTGCTGAACAAGCTAACGGAGAATTTAAAAGCCCTATTAAGGAAAGTCAGAAGAAGTGAGGACAAGCGCTTTCCCTCATCTGCTTTTGCTTCCAGCCCGTTGAAATCTTCATTCTCTTTCAGTCTTAACCCATCTTTTGTTAGCAAATTTCTGGCTTCAGGTCTTCTTACTGCTCAGTTTCTGTCTGTGGAGGTGAGTTTCAATCTCTTGCCTGAATACAAGCATCCCTAGCTGGCCGTGAGAAGCCTCATTCATGGCTTTGGATTGCATGCACATTTTGTACTGCTCTGGGGTCAGCTCGTCCAGACACTGTTTTTCATGCCAGAGATGGAAGAGACCCCTGATGGGTGTTCTGATCACGATGAGATTGCTGTGAAGGTATTTGCGGTACAGATGTACATCTTCACCACCCCAGCCTTTAATGTCCAGATCAAAGCCACCTGACACAAAGAAAATCCAGAATAACTCTAGAAATATGCATCTTCCACTATCAAATTTGATGCTATTAATTGCACTACTGCTGTTTTCTTGCTCCAGTCAGCCTTTGAAAACAGCTATGCTTTCTGCCAACAAAGTGTCCAAAATCCCTCAACTTCAAATCTTTCACCACCAGCCAGAATTGCTTTATTTGTACTAATCAGTGCTTTGATTCTGGTAACCTCTATGGCACTTGGGAATAGCCTGAACACCTGGCCAGATTACTGCTGCAAACAGAGGTATGGACACACACTGGCCAGAGAAAGGAAAGTTGACTACAATTTCCTAAGTTTCAGTAAAACAGCCAATGTATTTGAGCGGATTATTCTTACCTATGTTGATAAAATCAGATCTGTACTGGCAAGTCATTCCAAAACCAAAGTCTCTCCAAAATCCAGTTTCTTTTTTAATAATCTGCATGAGGGGAAAGGAACATTTATACGGTAGTAGAAATGCTTACAGCATGAGCAGCAGAGAAACAAGTTCCCAAATGCAGTCAGAAACAGGAACAACTGCCCATTTACTCTACACCACGTAAATCGGTAGCTGATCCACCAGCATTTGTAGATATTTATAGCATGCTTCTGCCCAGAAGAACAACCATGTCATCAGCTATCATGGATAAATCCCCTGACAGAGAAGGATCAGGTTTTGCTCCCTGACTGCTATTCCAGCTCAAATGGAGAAATATCTCCATCACAATCTGGAGTTCACTTCTTCAGAGGTACGTCAAAATCAAAAATCACGTGTAAGAAACATACTGATAAGACACAAAAGCCAGACTCTTCAACAGAGCTGATGGGCGGCATCTGGATGGTGGACAAGAGCTCTGGAAGAGAACAGATGTTCTGACCTGATTGTACAAATGACAGCTTCTTGATTAACTTAGTTTTGACCAAAATTTAAAAAGTGGTAAGGATAATTTTCATCACATAACTATTTTAGCTACCAGCTAAAACTAGAGCCCAGTAATGTAAATATATATTCCATAAAAGTCTTTGGCATAACAGATATGCCGCCCACACTACTGAAATGGACTATGAAAATATAGTGTATTATAGATGGAAAATCAGAGCAATTAGAGACCACAGCAATCATTTTCGAAGCAAACATACAAAAATAGATCACCAAGGTCCTAATTCCCCTGTGTGAGTGATTTCAACTCTAAGAGTTTCAACAGACTGGGACAGGTATTTAAATCCTCTAAGGAAGTCAGCAGTACTTCACCCTCTTCAAGGGGTGGTTACAAATCTACCCCTAAGCAGCTATTTTTGAAAATTTTGGCTCCCTTTGTAACGAAGTTGCAGGAGATGAGGCAGGATTTCCATTCGTGGATTTATCAATCCCAGCAGCATTTCCTTAACCAAAAATTCTTATTCCAAAATAGTCTCTCCTGCCTTCTCATTCATGCCTTCTCCCTTTTGTTCATAACCTTTGTCATTTTAGTGGCTTTTTTATTTTACTGCTCCTGTTGCTCTTTCTTTCTTGTTTCTTCTTTCCCCCAAAAAACCAAGCTGACAAGAGAAACCAATTAAAAGAAAATAAGATCTTTCAGATCTGCACTGTAACAAGAAATCTCTGCAGTTATGCCCTCAAAGCAAGCTACACATATGCATTAGCATTATTATTTTCCATTAGCGCAAATAGCTCCTGCACAAATTAATTCATTTCAAAGATTTCACAAGTTTTTGTTTCTCAGCAGCACGAGTACCGGGACAGAGCTAACTGTCTTGTTTTAATGGCAGAGATCTGGCCTCCTGCCCAGGAACTAATGTGGGCTGAAAATGTAAAAATCTACCTAAAAATGAGATTGGCAGTACTTTCTGAAATCAAGAAGCTTTTCTGAAATAAGCATCACATTTTATGATTCAAGTATTAGCTATAAATATTTGCTCAGTCCTGACAAAGCAGTTTGTGGAATTTATGAGACTTTGTGAGCTAAACTCTATTTCCTTTCCAAGCAGTGTTTACAAGCCTGAGGATCTCTAGCATGCTCTCCTCAGAGAGAAAACCTGAAGCAAATTCTATAGTATTGCCACAGCAGGTTTCCTCTGAGACAAAAGCAGTAAAAAGGATGTTCCAGACTCTTCAGTAACATTTGAAATAAATTTTAAGCATGACAGCTTAAAAAAAGATTGTCTTTTCATAGATGTTGTGAATGAGGAAGTATTTTTTTAATCTCTAAGTGCTACACTGCCATGATCTTTCAACTACTTATTCCCTACATGAGTAGTCTAAAGCATTTTTTATTTTAGAAAGGAAAAAAAAAAAAAAAGGTAGTCTGTTTTTTTTCCACTTGTGACTGTTGCTGGGCTTCCAACACCACCAAACTCTTAGCTACAGCAAGAGTGCCCAGCTTAAGACAGGACAGACCCAGGCAGATGCAGCACCTGCAACATCAAGAGGAGCAGCCGTGGCAAGCACCAACTTCTCAAGATGTAAGAAAAAGAAGTAGTGCAAAGAGGAGATGAGAGCAACGTCAAGGACTTTTACCCCAAGACACCACGCCATGGGTGACTTGTTAGCCAATTAAAAAAATGCCTTCTGACAGAGCAGCAGATAAAATTGAAGTTCTTAGTTTCCAGGTATAAAGTAACAAGCATGGGCTAAAATGAATAATATTTACATACTTTTTGGCTGAAATAATAGCAGAATTCACAGTGAGATGATTGTTATACTTAATTTTGTCTTCATAGCACTTTTATGCATGTCATTATGCACAAGGAATAGGGAAATACTTCCTAAGAGTACATGCACTGTTTCAAATTGAGAATTTTGTACATGTAAACGCAGGCATTCAGAAAAAAATATGCTTACCAGCTGCTGTTCTAAAGATGGTATGGAATCTTGATGGCCATAAATTATACTGGGATTATATTGGCTGAAGAGTACAGGATAGAAAACTTTCTTTCCTAGAAACGACAATGGGTTCATTATTTGTTTTTTAAACTGTATAAAGCATTTCTCACACATACAAGACACAATCCAGACTAGATCAAAACCATACAGTCACATAAGTTTTAAACTCAGCTTATATTCTTTGCATGGGAACACAAATGCGAGGATATAATAAACAAGGTGGCTCAGGTCCGAAAAGTTGAGGTGTGGAAGGCAAGGAATTCAATTACAGTAGGTGGGAGGTGCTGTAACATTTCAAAAGCCAACCAGTGATGGTATTTCCATACGTCTTAATTAGTTCCCTACGTTTTAAGAGTGATTTACAGTAGCTTCATCACCAAATCAAATACAAGAATACTGTAGTGAAGTGTTACACAATGGTTGTGGATCTGCTGAAAGCAGAGTAGCAGTACCTGGCTGTGTGTTCAATCTACAGGAGTTCAGGAATTCAGCTGTGAAGTATATGTCCACATCACAAAAAAAGAGAACAACATTACTTCCTTTCCAAACTCGAGCACCAACATCTAATCCTTTGCCCCTGGAAAACTCTTCATTCAGTTGGATGAAAGTGAAGTTCTTGAAATTGGTTGATCTAGGGTAGGAAAATATTCATCAGCATATGCTCACTTCCAGCTCTCAGTGCAAGTGGAGATGACAATCCAGTATGTGAAACCTAACAGAAATTTATCATACCAGGGTTCTGAGAGCACTTTAGGGGAACAGACGAGCTCTTAAAATGTTGAGAAGATTTCCACTACGTGTACTTTCAGAGCTTGACCTCCATATGACTATGCTAGCATTCCTGTCAGAGACATTCCTTGGGCAGACCTTATAAAGACCCCAGTGCAGCTTAGCAGGACAAGTGTTTCTTCAGCACGCAAATATAAAATACCTGTGGCCACATTACCTATGGTATCTATGTAACTAAGGGTCTTCTTCCAGCACGGGGATTATAACAAAGCTGATCAAGACAAGAATTTTTGGCACGATGGTCAAAAGCACCTACTAGATTGTGCTCTACTAGATTGCCTGTACCTGTTAAGTCTGAAGACTGACTTTCAGAGACAGTTAAAAAGTCACCTTCAGAAATCAGGGACTGTCAGAATAACAACATTTATAACTGATACGAAGAACGTTTTTTTTCTCCAATGAGTTAAGGACTTTTTTTTTTTAATCTAGTCTCCAATTCATAATACAATCACTGTGTGCACTGTTCATACATCAGATACTCAGGTACTTACTTGGAGGTATTTTCAAGTATAGATTTGACCTCATTCACTTGTTCTTTTCCAAAGTAAACGACTGTGAGGTGAATTCTCCCATCCTGCTGAATGCCCACTTCCCTAGAGAACAGAGACAGATTTATGATTTGTCCCAGAAGCTCACGTGCTTCAGTAACCAGCACATCCTGGGGAAGATGGTGTAGGGTGGACTTTGGAAGGCATTCCTGAGGGCATAATTCACCAGCAGAGATCTGTACACTGAACAAGAGGCTCACTGCTTTTTCTAGAAGGGACTGCAGACTAATCAACTTTAAGGCAGGTTGGATAACAACCCTCTAAACAGTGTTTGCTATTTTAATAGAGCCT